TGCGTATAATGCCCTAGTGTATGCAAATTTCTAGTTTCAGAAAATACAGAACAAGTATTCATATGCACTAAAGGATTGACTAAGTTATTTTCCTCAACAGCTAAACGTTTGAATAGAACTTATGACCAGTATTATAAGTTATGAATTAAATATTTTGAATTGAAATTTAATATATTGAACAAATTTAAGATTGATTTTTCAAATATTATACATAATAATATCCTGTAAAAACAACTTTGTTATTGAAATAATTTATGATGCTTGTTATCAGATGGCTGTGAATAACATATTTGGTTCAAAGCTTTGAAATAATTTAATTATTATACACAATGAAATATCCACATGCTATTTAAGAAATGGATGTATAAATATTTAAATAAATATTGATAAAAATGATTATTTAATAATATTATGAGATAAAAAACTAATAATAATCACAATATACACACTCACAAATCTAGGAGTATTTTTATAATAATATCCTGTAAAAACAACTTTGTTATTGAAATAATTTATGATAGTTGTTATCAGATGTCTGTGAATAACATATGAATAATGAATGATATATATGAAAATATATGAAAATATCCACATGCTATTTAAGAAATAGATGTTTAAATATTGAAATAAAATATTGATAAAACGATTATTTAATAATATTATGCTAAAATAAAAATGATATTTTACGCATGGACACACTCAACAAACGCAGGAGTTTTTTTTTCAAAACATAATATAATAATATCCTGTAAAAGCAACTCTGTTATTGAAATAATTTATGATGGCTGGTGAATAACATATTTTGTTCTGTAGATTTGAGATAATTTCAGTTTATAATATATAAAAAATCCAAATGCTGTTTAAGAAAATATGTATAAAATGTTTAAATTTAAATTGATAAATGATTATTTGATAATGATATGCCAAAATAATAATGATATGTCACATATGGGCATATATAAAAAATTTTTTTTTCAAATATTAAATAATAATATCCTGTAAAAACAACTGTGTTATTGAAATAATTTATGATGGCTGTGAATAGCATATTTGATTCTGAATATTTGAGAAAATTTAAGTTTATACCTATATGAAAATATCCACACGCTGTTTAAGAAATTGATGTATAAATATTTAAATATTGTCAAACAAATAATTTGAAAAGAAATTTTTTTTGATAAACTAAATATTTTTATTTGTCCTGGTTTGAAAATATTTTAAAAAACTGACACTCTGAGTCGATTCTTTTTGCTTTTATAAATTTTTTCTGTACGGTTGTACGATTTGATACTTCTCCTAAACGGTTATTCGGATATTAATAAAAAAAAATTAGAGTTGGTCAAAGGAAATTTTTAAGATTTAATGAACGATTAAACTATAGTAATATTGTAGAAATAAATAGCACGATTACAAACAATCACTTATCATTGTTTGACGTTGAAAATATTTGAACTGCATGCTAGAAATGTCAATTTACTTGAAATTTGAATTTTGCTGAAATTATGAGCCTAGATAATATTAGAATATTATATACAAGAAAAATGTAATGTCTACATTATTATTGCCGAAAAGCAGCTGAGATGTGCCAGAAATGAAAATAATAAAATACAGTCAACAGTATATGTAGACAGATGAAATTATAAAATTCAGTTTGATAATAACGCAACAAGTCCAAAATTGCATGTACATTATTTTTTTAAACTTATGCATGTTGCATTTTGGATTACTTTACTAAATTTTAGCATTTTTAACATACCTATGCAAATAGATGATAGATGTCTGAATTGAATTTGATATTTAATAAGAATTTGATTCAAATAATATGAATATTTTTTTTAGCAAGTTGATTTTAGATTCAAGAGTGCTCATATAAAACTAGATTTTACAAATTCACCTAAGATTTGAACATGAATTATTGGTAAGAAAAATGTACTTTAGAAATTATAATTGCTAAAAAGCAACTAATATAGCATACCAGATTATGAAAATTATAGGCTAAATTATTGAAGCAATAATGTTGTGTGGTGAAATCAAGTGTGATATTGTTCTTTTACCGCAGATACTATATTATTTTTTTCTGAATTTCCTATACTGCTTATGCTAAGACCATAAATGAATCACAAAGGCAGGACGTCAAATAGGATATTAAAAAGTATAGTAAAAAAATTGGAATTTTTGAATTGCAGACGTGGGTACAAGGACAACGTCAGTCGGGTCATCTAGTATATACATATAAATACATATATGCGTATTTAGATTGCATTTGTTAGGGAAGTTTCAGAATTGTACATGCTTGTTATGATATTTTCTAAAAAAAATATATATATCGGAAACGATCATAAAAATCTTGACGAAAAACGTGATAATTTGAATAATTAAATAAACAAACTTCATCAACATCAACATAAACAAATATGTGTTTAAGTAATAATACAATATGCATTGAGCATACTGTTTGCTGCCATCGATCCCAAAAGCGGATATACCTGAGCACGTGACCGGACGTGCACCTCAGGGCACGTGAATGAACGTGTGTTGTTATATAGGTGACTCGATATTTTTATATTTTATATTCAAGATTTTTGCCATTATCAAACTCAATCCCGGTGAGAGGTGTGTCATGGTTCAAAACTCACCTATTGTGAATAAAAGTTTAATTCGATTTGCATACCGTTCACAAAAATTCAAAGAGAAGAGATATTTGGTGCAGATAAAGCTTTTGAATAGGTTGAGCAGTAAATTTTATTCCGTTACTTTCACTAGATTAAGGAAAAAATTCTGAATATAATATAAACTAGTGGTGTATGGCATCGTGCCTTAAGGCAAATTGCTGGAACTTTCCGTAGGGTAGAGTGGGGCTAGTTGAGCAAATTTTTACTTAAACGTATGTAGCTCTTCAATGAAAAGTCTCAATAAATTGTTATACGGCTTAATGGATTTGTGGTTTATCGCTTAACAAAGTGTTAATACTATTTTTTGGTAATAAGTAAAATTTAAAAGCTACAGCTGTTTAAATGCAAAAAGTCAAGTATGCTCAATGTACCCCATAGGTGGGGCAAGTTGAGCACTAAGAAAGTATAATGAAATCATAGGTTCAATGTCGATTAGTGATGAAATCAAATAAGTTTTTAATAACCAGTTCTATATTTATAGTCTTTATTGACAAAGAAAACAAAACTTATAGTAATTTTCTTTCAATAATTAACCAAAAGTAGAATCAACAAAACAATATCGTATCTTAGGAATTATTTTACCATTATATTCAGTATTTTTGTTTAAAATTATTATATCTTTATATTATTACTCATAGACTTAGCTTAAATCTTAAAAATAATAATTAATTTCTGCAAGTTATTGGTAATTGTCTTAGTGACAGAACAAGTTTAGCAACTATGCTCAACTAACCCCAACTAGGAATTTCAAAATAAAAGTGAGTTTATAAAAAAAACGCGAGAATTATACCCAGAATCTCTATGCATATTAAAAGTACTATAATTATATGGAAGAATAACATTTACCCGATTAAAAATAAATAACATTTGACTAAACCAGACGAAAACTCGCGATGAATTACTTTTTTGCTTTTTGGTCTCAAAATAAACAAAACGCATGTGAGCCTCACTCATTTGTCCTGCGGCCACTAGCGATCGCGGGATGTTTATTTCTCCCAAACCTCTATCTTCCACCATATAATGCCTAAACGGACGGTGAATAGTTTTCGAGATATTTCGATTGCTCAACTTGCCCCTATGCTCAACTAGCCCCGCTCTACCCCACCAAAAAATTTTAATGTTTATATATTTTTTAATGTATTAATGTTACTCACTCGTAATTCCAGGTGCTTTAACCTCTTCGTCGCCAACCTCTTTATCGCTATCATCCAGAATCTCATCTTCATGAGGTTCGTATGCTTCATTGAGGGTTCCTTTCAGGGCCTGCTGCTTCTGTGCTGCAACTTGTTGAGGTGTTTGCTGCTGCAGGGCACGGAGCTTCGCCGAACCTCTGAGAGAGGCGCGCAGTAGCTGTTGCTCTTGCTCCTGCTGCTGCTGTTGTTCTCTGCGGCGACGTAATTGATCCTATGAAAAAATCATAGAAATTATTTAATAGAAAAGTAAATTTGAAAGTGGATAATGCTTAGATGAGAGACCATTTTGGAAATACCATGTTGATTGCTGTCGTATGATCTCTTATACCAGACATTTCAGTCTAACTGACAATGAGATATACAGAATTTAGGATCGGCAGAGTATTATTTTAAACAAAAAAAAATGAAGCACAAGTTTGTCATGTATGAAAAATTTAATTCGGCAAGAGGTATAAAATGTGAGGCCCTCACTCTTAGATGTTAGTTATACTATAATGAATTAGGTGACAAGAAAACCAGATAGAAAAAATGGTAAAACAAAATGTTATCTCATAACTATAATAACAGATATCTACATAAAAATTTGGTACTGTTGTCTTATCTAAACCTCTGAGTAACCAATATCAATTATCGATCGTGTATAGTGAAGCCTCAAACAAAATATTAACATTGGCATCACAAATAATAATTTGTTGCGAGAAAACACATCGATATTTTATCAGCTGCTGATTAAATGCCATATGTCGTAAAACAATTGATATGAATAAAAATGAATAACATCATAAAACATTATTTTAAATTATTCATAAATTAGCAAAAATCATTTACAAAAAATAAGTAAATTTACTTATTATTGGAGTATATTTTTCAGCAGCAATAAAAATGTTAGACATATATGTCTGATATGCGAGCTTTGGTAGAAGAAAAAAAAAAGTTTTAATATAGGGCCATGTGAGTCATATAGTGCCATATGAAAAATAGTGTTTTTTCAGGAATTTTGTCAAAAAAAAATTATTTGATACATTGAGTTTCCTTGATATATTTTAAATTAAATTATCTAATAAAGTTACCATGGTCCATATGATTTTTTTGTGATATTATCATGGCGATTTATTTGTTATTAATATACTAGTATTTATTTTTTGAAGTAAATCTTTCGTTCATCGGTGGTTTATCATACTATCAACAAACTTATTATTAGTAAGATTTATGTTCCATGTTATAAATACCTATAGTATAACTATATAAAGCACATACTAACATTTTTATCCTGATATGACTCTGTATCACTGACGTTGCTATTTCTAGGTGACTTAGCTACCATTTTAAAAAAATTAACAGCACAAAACTATATTATCATTATTGTTCGACATACAAACACTTTCATATTCTTCTACTTGTTATCTAACATGAACATCACTAATATGTCTCCACGACACAGTTTCATTTAGACACATAATCGATTTTTAATTTATATTCGATTCACGAAACATAATATTTGCACAGAGATTTAATTTGATGGTTTCGTCACTAATTAATTCTGTTACAAATGAAAATTAGTCGTTATGCAAGTTTAATATATACATATATGAGTGTCTATTTAAATTCACTAAATGATTTAAAAATATATCAAAAGCATTTCACCTGACTCATTTAGACATAATGCAAATTCATTGAAAGTTACGTAGGCATAGAGCACACTTTTCTATAATTTTATTAGCCAAACAAGAACTGATAAAAAAAAAGATATAAATAAAAACATTAGAATAAAAGTATAAAAAACCATAATATTATTAAAAAAATAAAATTTAATTGAAATATCTTAATAAAAAACCCTCCAAACGTGCAACTAAAAACACGGCACAAGTTCTATTTTATTTTTATGATTATCAATCATGAATTATAAGAAACATACAATTAGTTTGTTTTAAAATCTTCATTAATTAATTTTAATGTATTTATATAAAATAAAATTAAAATTTAATTAAAAGTGTGTATAACAAATATACTTCAAAAATGTACTAGAAATTGTTCTGGACAAATATACCAATTGAGAAGAGGATTGATTTCAAGTCATTTTCTAATATATATATATATATATATATATATATATATATATATATATATATATATGTGTTTTTTATTAATATTTTCCGGCTACCGCAAAAATAGCTTGATGTTAATTACAAATGCCTACTTGAGATATATGGTCGTAAGAATCTTGAGTTGTGGAATTCAATTTCTGCTCATAAATAATATATATATATATATATATATATATATATATATATAATTCAAATTGTACGAAACGCAATTTCAGCAAATTGGATAATGTATAAAGATAACTAAAACCGCACAAAAAATCAACGATTCAATTAAGAAATGTGCTTATCTCTGGAATTTATTTTAAAGATAATATTACAAGTAATATTATCTTAATATACTTATAACTTCATATAGTATATCTGATATAAACAATTATAAAAAATTGAAATAAAATTCTTTCAATAAAATTTATTTACTTAATTAGAATTAGTATTTTGTTTGGACCCCTGGGGGTTCATATGAACAACTTTGAGAACTACTGAGTTTTAAAATGTACAAAAAAAAAATATTATGTAAAACATTATATAATATAAAAAAATCAATTATTTCTTAATTACATGATTGCATGTTGAATTCGCATTTACGATAATTTATATCATTGTTATTTTCTATTATTGAAAATTATCATCGAATGGTGCAACAGACGCCCACAAATAGCAAACCGATAATATCAGGCCGATAAACGGGCGCCAAGGTTAAACAAATGGATTTGTGTAATGTAATACAAATGGATTTAATAGTTCAAAACAATGATAATGAGAATTACGTATCATTGCCAATTTTTCCATATTACAAAATAATAGCAAAAGATACCATTTATCTCAAATATTAAAGATTTCAATTGCATATTTACAAGTGACAGATATTGAAACGAGTGGCGTAATTATGGGGTGGAGGAGCCAAGCCAAGAGCAAAAATCCAAGAGTCTCTGACCCAAGAAGGAAAAAAATAAAAATAAAAAAAAATAAAAAAAGAGGATCTTGGCCCAAAAAAAAGACTAGTCAAAATCGTAGATGTAAATTATTTTTAATAAATTGCGGATGACATAGAAATATATAACAGACCTAGTGATGTATGGCATCGTGCCTTAAGCCAAATTGCTGGAACTTGTCGTAGCATAATTTTTTTTTTTTAATTTAAAAAAATGTTAAAATTTGAGAAAAGTATATATTTATTTTTTTTTATTTTGCCTTCCCAAAAACTTAAATATGTTCTTTATCTCGTCAATTCAAGTAAAATGTTTTTTGAATTATCAAAATCAAAAACTGAGTTACCGTTTTAGGCACTTTTTGCCCCGTACCTTCGAAACGGCTATACCTGCCTTTGCCAAAAACTAATCAGCATGCCTCCTTATCAATACAAATGGAATGTTCTTGGAATTACTCAATTCGGTTGATCCGTGTTCCCGAAATCGTCGACAAAAATTTGTATCCGCACACACACACATTCATTGTTTTCTAAGGTTGATTTTTTTGCGATTACTATAACTTACCTTACGGGAAGTTATTAAGAAAATTGAGTCTAAACTTATTTAGTAAAATACTGTTTATTTTTTTTTTTCAATTGGCAAAGATAAATATTCGCAATCCCAATACTGCTAATGTTTACTTACGAGGTAGCTAAAATGTGTATTTCTAAAAATTCGCAGGTGTTAATTATTTTCAAACAAATCTTATCTTCATTTTATATAGGTTGTTTATCCATTCAAATTGTTTTAACATTGTAACCGTGTAAATAAAAATCCGCAATGAATGCCCGTACAAGCCAAAATATGACGTCAAGTATTAAATATAGATTCTACGTGCATTATTATCTGTCTGCAGACTAATTAAAACACCTTTAAATGTTTGTATAAAAGCATTCGAGCAAAGACATCGTTGATTGTGTGAAATATTCATATTTGTAAAATTTATATAATGATCACCAACAAATACCTCTCAACATGGTGAAGCTAATAAAGCAAAAACACGTGAGCGTGAAGACTTCGAGATGACCAAATTTAGTTGGATCATGGAAGATGGTTCAAATTTGATCAATTTAGTTAATTTTAAAAGTAAGTATTGAAAACTGTTATTAGTAGTTACAAACTTTCGTCAACGATTTCGGGTGCACGGATCAATCGATCTCTATTAAAAAAAATCAATTCCTATATTGATTGGAAGACGTACTAATTGTTTTATATCTTCTATCTTTTTGTCATTAAAATAAACTCGAATCGGTATGATCAATTTACAGATTTTTTGTAAAAACCGTAAGCTCTAGAAAATATTAAAATGTTTAAAATATTCTCATTGTCAGGCTAAAATTATTTTAATACTAATAAGCCATTTCATAAAATATTTAGTAACAGTTTTCTACGATATATATCACTTATCATATTTTATGTTTAAATTCACTCATTATATTTTGTGTTTAACTCTAGATTTGTCTTCGAAGTTTTAAAAAATCCGATTTGTTTATAAGAAAAATGGACATTTATAAAAAAGCTACAAGACAAACAGACCTTGGTATACAAAACATAATATTATCTGAATAATTGTTATGTGCTTTGTAGGTAATCAATTATAATTTATCGTTCTTAATGATTTCATTATACATCTGTAATATATTATATCTGAAGATAACTTTGCATATTCAATCGCTTAATTATATATATATTTCTACGCATATATATATAAATTTATAAACCTAAACTTATACGACCAAAGATGACATTTCGGACTTTCACCAGAATAACATGATGTACTATTCCTAATTCGAATTACACAAGACGCGCCAAAGCAAAAATATAATTATATAATATATATATATATATATATATATATATATATGTATATATATATATATTTAGTTCATTCGCAAGGTAAAATTCTTGTGTTTCAATTAATTTTATTTATACTTGCAAATAACCTTATCGTTTTATGGTTATGCGATTATTCAAGAAATGCATAGCATTCTGCTAGCTTTATGAAAGAAAAAATATTTGAATATAAAACCTTAGTCATAACAAAAGAAAGATCTGAACTCTAAACAATAATAATTTGATTATTACTTAATTTTCTAATAATTGCGTTATTATTTAATTCACAATATTTAGTTGAAGCTTTAATATTTGAAAGTTTTATTACATTAAAAATTTATTCATAATTTGAAAAAAAATCATTGTATATTTTTTTTATATTTATTCTTCTTTTGCATATATCAATTTTGTAAATAAGACATTAAGGTCTTGATTAACAAAAATAATTATAACAAAAATAATAATAATAATTAGAAAAATAGGAGATAACCTTAAAGAAATAGACATGAGAATTGGCAAGTAAAATGCTGCTTTAATTAATGATTTTTTTATGAATTATGGATTTATATTGCGTAAAATATTCAACAATGTGATAATAAAAATGATTAATAAATATTCAGTATAGACCTTATTTATATTGATTATACAGCTTATATTATTTTGAGAAGTTTTCGAGTAGGTATTGCTTTTAAAGAATTGTAAGATTGATTAATATTCTTACAAATAAATAAAATTATTAAAACAATATTTACTTTTCGGCACAGTATAAAATATTTATGATTATTGATATGAGATTTAATATCCTAATATAATATTTTTAGTGTTAACTATGTCTGTAAAATCATTGATAGACGAATTTATTACTATAATAGACAAATATAGATAAAAATAAAATTTTAATTATATGCAGCTTTGAATATTAATAATTTTTTAAAATTGTATATCTCGAATCGGTAAGGATTTTATATTCGAGTTCATCATTTTGAAATATCAAGGACTCACCCGAGGGTAAGTGGTTATAAAATTCTTAAGTTTTGTTCCTGTTCAATACAAAAAAATAGAGTTCTATGTTCGAGGATTCAATATTTTTTAATATTAACAAGACCTCTCAATTATCAATACGATTTTGAAATTAGAATGTTAGAATATTTTGAGTCATACCTAGGCGCCCAATCAATGGATTGGCCTCTAGGTATTCGATCTAGACATTTTTTAACTACGACCAAAAATTTGCTAATGTTCTGAATGAAATAGGTGCAAATTATTAAAAAATAAAAGAAAACCACTATTTTATCAAAAATATTTTTGACTAATCTTTTAAAATCCGGATTATTTTTTTATACAAAAAAAACATACACGTCATAAATGTTATAGGTATGGGTATTGTAAAAATAGTAAAATTGCATGCAAATTCATTCTATTATATGGTTGTTAAGGAAACCTTACGAATAATTAGTTACATGCAATAATCAGATTTGACCAACTAATATTGCAAAGTCAGATCATTCTTTCAATCGATTCATAAAACATAAAACATTATTTTATTATCTCCAAAATTAATAACATTCCACCTTCATAATCACAACACTATTTTAACAATACACATCTATCTACACTTTGCACCTTATCAACACAAAAATTAACAGTTAATTACGTAATCGATTTTAATTTTTTGCTTTAAAAAATATAACACACTAGTATAATATAAGAAAAAATTTGTTTTACACTAATAATCAGTTTGTAATCCGTTTACACGGAGTGACACGGAGCTACTATTACTAGGGACAACACATTTGATGCTAAACGCGATTTGAAAATAAAACCGTCAGAACGCGTGTGTTAGTGGACATATGTGAAATGCCATATGACATATCATGTGTGTAAATACACGTATGGATTCAGGCACGTATTTGCAATTATCAGGCCAGGGAGGTATCAAAATGGAATAAAAATTCTCGAAATTTGATTAAATTTTCTACTTTGCCTTCATTTTTATTTTGAGAAAACAACCATTAAAGTGGCTATATCATATCTTATACCTCGCAGTGGGCATCAAGCCAGTAAAGTACAAGTTAGCAGTGAATTATTTGGTTAAGGATATGAATAATATAATTCACCCTTTCGCTACGTGAGGGTTTTTCGCAGAAGTGACACTGATGTACAAGCAAGCAAGCCGCCCAAACATATGTACTCAAAATATTTTAATATTATCCAATTATTATCAATAAAAATATATTCAAAAATCAAAAATAACACTTTCAAAACACCACAATAACATATTAGAATTCTTAATCATTTCTCTCAATGACAAATATTGAAGCAAAATAGGCACACTTTATGTCGTCTATAGGCGACACACTACACACAGATCGTCAAACGGATGTCCTAAAGACAACGCTCGTAGCGAAAGGGCTGAGCAAGTATCAGAATAAAATATTTATGTAATAAAAATCCATTTTGAAATTTTAACACGATAGATTGAAAATGTATTTCACGCATCCGACAGGATTTTTAAAGATCTTCAATACCATTTTACAATCCTGATTAAATGCGCCAACTTCTGATGAGAATTGCCAACAGACTTAGGAGCATTTTTTAAAAGGATGGCTTATCAAAGTCGATCTATTTAGAATATTTTAAATTTTGTAGTTCGACAAAATATCTCAATTCTTGAAATCTTGGGATAATTGTATCATAATTTTTTATTGTGGTCCTAGAAATGTTATTTACAAAAATCACCACAATAACCGTAAAATTGGTAAATTTCCACCAAAGCTCTAGGTTGCACTTAAAAGCTCATAATTTACAAAAGTGTGATTCTAATTTGTTACATAATAGTTATGATCAATACTAATAATCACTCCGTTTAGGCTTGGTGTTGGGTTCTGGGACATCTTATATATATATATATATATATATATATATATATATATATATATATATATACATGGTGCATAAATAAATATACAGAAAATATATGCAATATGAATAAGAGTATACGTTTGTGTACAAAGCAGGTGTGACAAAATGCATGCTACCGTGAATATTCATTAGCTGATTAGAATAAGTGTCGTGCAGGAACATAGAAAGTTGGTAAAACACTAAAATCGATATTTGCATATAATTTTATACATTTGTTTCAGCGCCAAACTATTTACAACTCACGACCACAAATAGGATTTTACTGAATAGACAATAAGAGTTAGCTATAACCATAGATATACAAGTATAACTTGGATTGTTTAAACATATAAATAATATATATATATATATAATATTGTGTTGTGTGTGTGTGTGTGTAAGATCTGTGTTTGTTTCTATATACCCACATCTATGCTGGTTTAGTGATACACTGAAGGTTACCCACAGAACATACATGTTTTATTATTGACATTGCAAAATAACAATAAATCAACACAGTAGCATTACTTACAGAAACCATTTTAAAGTGATTATATATATATATATATATATATATATATATATATATTAGGGTGGGTCCTTAATATGGAAATTTTCGAATTACCTTGCCCCAAGGGCTCATATGGTTTCAAATTGATAAAAAACAATTCTCTGAAAGTTTTAGCTCTTAATATTAACTTTTAGATAGTGTGCAATTCAATCAAATTTCGTATGAAAATAGCATGGAAAAAATTGGAAAATTTAAAAAAAATGCGATTATTAAAATTATTGAAAAAAAATAATCATAGCAAAATTTATTTTTATATAATTAATTGAATAGCAATCAAAAATTTTAAGGGTATATAAGCTGTTGCAATGATTTGATTTAGCTATGTCGGTATTATAGATGACAACCCAAATGGTTGTCTTAGCTCTATGTGATGCATTTTATTACTACAATTTCGGTAAGAATGATAATTTTTTTATTGATGTAACACTGCCAGGTAAGGGTTATTTTAACTTGGAAAAATCTTAAATGAAAATATCTTCATGTACAACTTAACATAAAATCAAATAATCAAGTATTAGATTTTGGAGATAGAAAAGGAGAGCGATTTTGAATCATTTAAAATGAAATTTAGCTTAAACAAAAAAAATCATAACAATTCAATAACTTAATATCATAATGTCGAACGAATTTTACTCGAAAATATTGAATATTTGTTTCATATTCCAAACATTGAAAACGTTGTACTATTTTATTTATTTATTTTGCTACGGTAATATATAAATATATAAATTCTTAAAATATAAAATATATGTTGTTGGCCAATTAATGCTTTAAATTTAATTATTTCAAGCTATTTAAGTTAATCATTATATGCAACTGCATTCTTCTGAGAAGGCACAGGCATTTCATCGTTTCTTTATAATAATTTTTTGTTCTCTTTATATTTTTGCAATTTATATTCTCATCATAGGTTTATTGCTCATCATCATCCATATCTTCACATGGTATGAAACTTTTATTAATCTTGGAATGTTAATAATAGAATAAAACAATAAAATAATGAATAAATTCCATCATATGCCAAGCCGACTTCTATCGATGCATTGAAAAGGAGTACATACAGGAAGAATTTTATAATTAGAATATATATATATATATATATATATATATATATAAATTTTCGTATAGTTTGACTTGTTTTACCTTTTTTTAATATCAATTAAATTATATTACAAACAAATATTGGCGTGCTATATTTTTCTGCTGACTTGTTAGTTATACGATACCAATTTTTCAATTATAACCCCCATCGGATCACAACATATTCAGAATAATTAAATCAAGTGATTTATTATTTACTATCATTAGAGTAAGTATTACTAATTGATATTTATATTTCTATTCTTATTTCTGCTAACCTGATATTTCCTCATGCTCTCCAACTGCTCCACAGTAGGCTGCACCGCTCCTGATGTCGGTGCTGCAGCAATAGTAGTCGTGCCTCTCGCCGGAACCTGCGGCGCTGGTGCTCTATTCACCAGCCGTCCATCTTTCTCGATGCGCAGGTGCTCCCGAGGAGGCGGTATTGGCACCTGTACTGCTGAAGGAGCCAAAGGAGCCGATGGAGGCGCTACCACCACTGAACCGTTCATCTATCAAACAAAAATTGTAATAAAAGACTTTGAAGCAGATTTGATATTTTTTTTTATGAATAGGATGAACATATTGATATAGACAAAACACAAAAAGAATGAAAAATTTTATGTATCAATTTCGAGCAAACGCAAATATGTCAATTACTTAATAAATACTTCTCTATTGAAAGAACTATTTAATGATTTAAACGAAACACAAATTATATTGATCAAAAAGATCAATATTTCAAAAATTTATTCAAAACAAATAGATTTTTCAAGTGCACTTGAAAATAAACTTGTATAAGATGCAATATTATTTATCACTTTAAGATTGTCATGCCTAATTGCCTAATGTCTATATCATTTATCATTTGAAAGTTTTATTAACTCAAAATTTACTAATATACTATATCATAATATGAAACTAATCATGCAAAATATTTTTAGTAATAATACAGATATGTCATAAGAAAATTAAACTATAATATATATATTTATATATATATATATATATATTGTACGAGGTCTGTTCAAAAAGTACCCGGAATTTTCGTTTTTTCAAAAAAATATTTATTTATTCGTCTACATTAATGTGGTCCCCTTCAAAGTAGTCCCCCCCAGATATAATACACTTATGCCAGCGTTTTTTCCAATTTTCGAAGCACCCTTGATATTCACTTTTGATATGTCCTTGAGCACTCTCAGCGATTTTCTTCAATCGAGGAAAACCGCCGTCCTTTCATGGTCTCTTCAACTTTGGGAATAGGAAAAGTCACACGGAGCCATATCTGGTGAATTTTTGCACTTTGCAACACTTTATTTCATTTTTTACGCAAAATTTAATACAAATTCTTTGACTTTTCAATTCTTCCATTGTAAAAATCGCCGAGCTCAGAAAAACACGTCGAACCTTAGCGACTACCACAGACAAAGTAACAGTGAATATAGCTGAAAATTTCATCATACTTTAGGGGCATGTATACCAACACAATAAAAAATTTTTGACAATCAGACACTCCAGACCCGCGAAATTTAATTATTAGTAATTCCGGGTACTTTTTGAACAGACCTCGTATAATGTATACTTTATGATATTATGTATGTATGAAGATCGTGTAACAATTTTACATGAGTGATGAAAATATTTTAAACTTAACTCAATATATATTAATTTAATTAGAAATGAATTGTTTATGAGTTATTTAAAATATCTTATGAATTTTACATTTAAAAAAAATTTATAGTAAGTATGAGACACATGGAAAAATTAACTACATTACAAGATTTCAGCAAACTCGAAAAAGGGATTGGAAATTCTGCTGATGAATTTTTCTATAACAGTATTTTTATGAGTATTTTATTAATAAGGTATTTTCACCCATTCGCATTTTATTTCAAAGAAGTTTTCCTACAATATTTTATATATATCGAATAAGTACATGCATTTCAATATTGTTACTAGATACACCTTATAAATACAATAAATACTTATTAATAACATAACTTTCATGTTCATTATTTATTAGTATGTATATGATTTTTATTGCTAATTTTATTTAATTCCCAAGTATAAAAGTAACATGCAGTATATAGTACCTACAAAATAAAATATTCGTAACTTTTTAATTTTTCTTACCATTATAAATTTCAAATTTAAATCTGGTTACGAAATGTGCTAATAAAACAAAACAATAAAACTTTTAGACCAAATTTAATTACTTCAAACTATAGCATTATCATTGCTTATGTGACGATTGTTTTTTTAATTCCCCTGAATATGATGCAAGACTCACTACTAAATGCACGTTAATACTCTCCAACGTGCCTTATTTAAATACCCAATAATACATTCTTCGGAAGAATAATATGTGCATATCATTCAAAATATACCTGATGCTGAGTTCTCCATTTTGGATCTTTACATCTAAATGCCATAGCAGGCACCTGTAAAGAATCTTTTGTATTTTTCTTCGCCGGAAACCTTTTGTTTATTATGAAGTAAATTCGTATCGACCTTAACCGAAGACATGTCATTACTTGCATTGTTGCTAAAATCTATATCGCATTTAGAAATCTCTGATATATATTCTGAATCATTATCTGCTTTGGAATATTTCACATTTCCTGATTTTGAAATCCATAATGATTTCACGCCGTCTTCATCATTTTTACCAATGTCAAGATCTTTTGTTTCAAGTTGAGAACATCTAATTCAATGCTTTCCTCATCAGCCTTGGATCCTAGAAGGGATTTCATTTCGTCAGTCTTGGATTTCTTCAAGCTTAATTTTCTTGAAGTGATTGATAAAATATTTGTATCCGATATTTTCGCTCCATATGAATAATCTGAAGTATACGGTTTCAGATCACTGCTCTTGTCATCAATCGTATCATTTAACGTATCTAAAGATTTTGATGAAGGATTGGATTTTAATATATTTTCTTTTTCGAAATATTTTGCCTTTCTTGGCACTCTTCTTGAATTTTATGTTATTTTTGCCTTTTCTTTTTTCTTTTTTCAAAACAGGATACTTTGGTGTTGTTTTTTTTACGTTGGACAAAATCTGCCGGTACGTCTACAGCCATTTCTCGATGACCACTATTGCTTTCAACGAAAAACATATCTGATATGTAAGCCTTATTATCATAACCGCTAATAGTAAGCTTATTTGATGTTTTTATATATGTAGATTTATATGTATTTATAACTCTTTCATCATCATTCTTTGGTTTCTCATTTTCTATAACATTTACTTCAACGTGCTCGTGTTTTATTGGTATTTTATCATCTTCATTATAATTGTCATCAAGATCCTTAACATCGGTTTCTACAGAAGCATTAACTTCTGAGTAATTAAAACTGTCAACGTTATAACTACTCCCATCAAACTATCTACCAATAATTCATTCTCATCATCCATATACTTGCAATGATCATAAAGTGAGGAAGCAATATCGCAACCAGCAAATTTGTATCTGCTATTCAAAAGTTCGTAACCTCCACTCGATAGCTGATCATCGAACGGTTCGTACGAGTTAAAGGAAGCGACATTATCATCAGAAACTTCAAAATCGTCAATTACTAATTTATTGATCTTGTTTGATGTATCATTGACCACCGAAGAGATGGTTAGAACAACTCCTTCTGATGATTTACGGATGTTATTATATGATAGCCTAAAATCGTTGTCCGACGGCACTATGTTATCGTGCAAAAGATCATAATTTTCATTATAATCCTCCGTGTCGGTAGTCGATAATTTACCGCTGTCAGGAGATAAATCGACTTCCCTATCGTCAATGCTATGATTTACTGTAACTATAGGATATTGCAAGGTGTAATCATCTGTATTTATTGTTAATCTAGTCTTATTGACATATCGTACATCATCAGCACTATTGATAATAATCAAATTTTCTTTTCCGCGATTATCGTCAGAAATCGTAACAATTGTTTTCTCGTACCTATGGTCGATGAAATAACTGGGGTTATCATAAGCATCATTTTTACGATTGTTCCGCTCAATCGTGTCAATATCGTATGAAACAATAGAATCGTATCTATCGGTCGACTCATTAGTAGACGATAACGATATAGACCTCTCGTTGTCCGATATCGATATCGTCTTCTTATCGTCCGACAAATCTGATTCGTTTAAATCGTCGCTTATACTTTTACCTGTGTTCTGTTGTGATTTTTGATGATCGTGATTCGGTTGGTGACCGTTTTCCACCAAATCGAACCGACCTACCTTGTGGTTTTCTACGACGACCGAACTCGGGGTGCCGTTGCTAGTTTTGTGACCGACATGTTGATCATCATAACTACTATTTCG